TCAATAAGAAAGAGAAAGATGTGATGTAAATAGCTTGGCAAAGAGAAGGAGCATGTTTGAGAAACAGAACAATGAGGAGACAAGTACCAGAGGGAGGGTGTGTGTGTGGATGTTATGTGCGAGCACTTCGCTCTGTCTCTGCTAGACACTCCCTGACAAGAGCACGTGTGTGGATGATACCTGATGAAAGACAGAAACACATATCAGCCATTTCAAACAAGTAAACATTTATCCAAATAACAAGACTAAGTGCTAATGTGCAAAATGACTACTATAAGTAGTTTTGTTGTTTGACAGGCCATTTACTAATGAACCAGGTAGCACAGATTGTAAAATACTGTCTTTGGATGTATACAATAAATTGACACTAAAATAAGCATTACATATCAGGCATTATAAGTTACAACTTTAATTATTGAAGTTGCACTACCTATAAATTAACAATATAATTTAAAGAAATTACCTATAGTACAAGTAAGTGGCTTACTTGCACTGTAATTAATGGCTACTGGAATTATAAATATTCTGAACACTTTTTCTATATTAATTTTACTTCAGTGACAAGCACTACAACCTATTAAAGGTAGCTTAGTAAGAACGTCTTTGTGCTGACAAAAGAAACTTTGCAAGTCTGATCTCACACAGATCTGAAAACGCAGAAAACTATCACAACTGCCCTTAGGCTCACATTACTCCAGGGGGCTAAATGTGCTGCATGCACTTTATGCCAAAGGGTTTGGAGTACCTCTCTTCAGCCTCTCCATGGCACTTTTGCTGCCAGCATAGGTAGGACGAATTTCACGGCTCATCTCCTCAATGACGGAGAGCAGCTCACTATAGGTTGATCCCTGGGACACTTTAACAGGCTACAAAAAACAAGAGATGTCGGAGTAATATAAATCCTCTTTATGAGGTGTATCCTCATTCTTCAACACTGAAGTGAGCCTATGGGCGAGACTTCCGGTTCATTAGCTGCTATAGGAAAATAACAAGAAGAATTACAGCGTGCAGTAAATGGTAAAACTGTTTGCACTACAAACCAGTATGTTCATAAGACAATACATTAAAATAATATGGTATGACTGACCAATCTGCAATATCAAGCAGCAAAACGAGCGGTTTTGTTCAGCTAAAAATAACTGGAAGCGAATGAGACCTGAAGCAAGACCCATAAAATTTACAAATGGCTGCGCCCATTTTTACGGGAAGAATAAGGTGGATATATATAATGGAATTATAATATATATATAATATGCACACTACCAGTCAAAAGTTGGTAATAAGATTTTTTATACATGTTTTTGTATGAAGTCTCTTATGCTCACCAAGGCTGCATTTATTTAATCAAAAACTGCAAACAGTTACATTTTTAAATATTATAATTTAAAATAAGTTTACTATTTGAATATATTTTAAAATTGAATTTATTCCTGTGATGGCATAGCTGAATTTTCAGCTGTCGTTACGCCTTCTGATCCTTCAGAAATCTTTGTAATATGCTGATTTGGTGGTCAATTTTTATAAATTATTGGTGCTCTATTGATAATAATGGTTCTTAATATTAGTGTTTTTGTTGCTTAATATTTTGGTGAAAACAAAATCAGGATTCTCTGATGAACACAAAGTTCAAAAGAACAGCATTTATGTGAAATAGTAACGACATTTATAATATTACATACGTTTTCTGTCACTTTTGATCAATTTAATGCATCCTTGCTGAATAGAAGAGGTATTAATTTACCCCCCCCCATCTAATTGAAACCAAACTTACGAATAGTAGTGTATCACAGTTTTTACAAAAATATTCAGCAGCACAACTGTTTTCAACATTGATAATAATAAGAAATGTTTCTTAAGCAGCAAATCCATATATCAGAATGATTTCTGAAGAATCTTGTTACACTGAAGACTAGAGTAATGGCTGCTGAAAATTCAGCCTTGCCATCACAAGAATAAGTTACATTTTTAAAAAATTAAAATGTAACTTTTTTTATTTTAATGTTATATTTCAAAATATCACCATTTTTATTGTATGTTACTGTATTTTGATTAAATGTATGCATCATTGGTAAGCATAAGAAACAACTTTAAAAAAAAAAAAAAAAAACATCATTTCAAACTTCAAACAAACATTTCAAACCAGTAGTGTATTTATTACAAATAAAACAGACCCTTAGTGCATTTATCATCATAATGTCAAGTAAGCAAATTTATCTAAAAGCCCACTGTTATCAGAAAATTAACTTACTTGTATAAAGCCCATTGATGGTGGACCAAAGTCACTAAATGCTGGTCTAAAGTTAGAAGAGGAGGCCAGTGATGGAGATGAGCCACATGATCCTAAAACCAGAGAGCAAGAGGAAGACCAATCACAAATCAAGGAAATGTCAAAAGGCCAAACTCGACCAATGAGATCTCGCCACCCAGTGTTTGTATGAAAGGAAGTGAGGTAAAATACAGTCAATATTAGATGCACTGATGTGATGGCATGGCACACTCACAAATGAGTAGGAAAACAGTTAGCTTTTAAACGTAATCGCGATAGGGTACGGTTAGCAGCACAATATACCACATTAATGTAATGAGCGAGACAGATGGCTATGGCTCCTTTAACTCCTCCCCCTTTATCCGTGTCTCTGACCTCTTTTACAGTAAGTTCACTGACCCCTTTCTCCAGGATTAAAACGGAGCGTTTGAAAAGATGGACAAAAAATACCTCAAATGGAGAAAATATGAATGTAAAAAAGAAATGAATGAACAGAGAGAACAATGCAACTCACCTGGTGGAGTGTGGTTGGAGCCGGTGGGTGCGGGGGCGATCGGCTTGTAACTCATATTTACACCGCCGTCGACTGTAACCTCGCTTGATGAAAACTTTTTGCTTATCTTCTGAACGTAATCTCGTTGGGCTTTAGTATCTGAAGAAGGAACGTTGTTGACCTAATGGAAACACAAAGAGTAGATATACAGATACGTATACGAGGTGAGAGACATGGTAAAGGCTAACGGGCAGAAAAGACGGTCCCCTCTAAACTTAACCGGCTTCAAACCGTGCCTTATCCATTTAAATCGCCTGGAATTGACTGACTTTTTCTTTATTTTCAGCTAGGGCAAAACAAGGAGTCGTTTTATATAAATACTAAATATACTTGGTGTATTAAAGAGTGGAGGACGCCTGTAATGGTTTATGAAAGGTAAATTTAACTACCCAACTCTTCTTCCGCGAACTCGCTCGACAGCGACACGCGCTAAATATCCAACAAGCCGACAAATCAAACAAACAACAACAACCGTGAACACTTCGCGATACGCTGGCCAGTCAAAGACGGTTCCTGGTCGCCGGTTTACACTTGTTCGAGGAGGTTAACGAGGAATATAACGCATGGGAAGAGTTTCGTTGCGCGGAGGTGTCGGCTCTTCTCCTCTCTTCCTGCGCGTGCTAGCCTGCTATGTTATTTTCCCATGATACTCGGCAAAAAGAGTGACTGCGTCATCAGGCACGCGCCTTTGCCCTCTGTCTTCCACAATGAAGATTCCATTCTGGAATTTTCTTGTTGAGGTGTTTGGAGAGAGTGGACAACAATGAGCTGGGAAAGCATTTGGAAAGTGGATCATCTGAAGTCGTTTTGTGATAATGTTTAGTTGTTTATTTATAGAATGGCATATAATAATATGGCATAGAGAATAAAAATGGATAACAGGACAAAACCGAATTGTATTGTTTGTCAATCTGCAAGTAATCACTACTGGTGAGATGTACAGTACAATATACATTAAACAATGGAATGTGCAATCTACATAAAAAAACTATTAAAATATAGATGTTTATTGAACACTCTGACAGCTGTTTAAAGTGTTCTTTAATCAGGATGTTTTAGCTGTTGGGTGATTTCAGGTTTCTTTTATACGCTGGGTGAGATGGATCCATTGTAATCTTTTTATTGGTGCATTAGATGTGCCAAAGGGATATCAGTAGCCTACCTATGAGTCCTTTCTGTGCCATACTGATGGACACTGTTAGAACAATCTTCACAATGGCAGTTTAAAAACACTAAACTGCTGACTGGTTTTCGACTTTCCTTAATTGTCTGATGACGGGGAGTTTTTGATGAGCATTTCTGATGAGGTGGTCTGTATTGATTTGCCTTTTTTTTATGCAGCAAATAGGTACCTATGCATTTGCAGTTTGTAATGGCAATTTGTTTTCTGTTGATGCACTGGGAGTTTGGTCTGCAGGAAAACCAGTTGAAAACCACTTATGCATATGTACTTCAGTAGCCTAAATGTGACAGATTGTAGGAGTAGAGGCTATTTCACTGTCATCAATTTAAGCACCTCCCCCAGTCACATATAGACAGAAAGCACTTACATGCTGAAATCAGATCTGCTTCTAAATGATTAATGCTATGCGTACTGTAGAGTCCATTATTTGCAATCATATAGGCCTGTTTATTACTGGTTGCCAGAGAAATTGTTGTAACTTATACAGCATCATCTAGTAATATGTAGGGACATAGACAAAGTAAATACAGCTTGAGCTCATATTAATGTAAATTTAGGCCTACAGTAAATGTAAAGTACATTAGTCAGTGACTATTGATACACAAGACACAGAAGCCATTCATTCAAAGAACTGCTGCGTCACCTACCACATTTTCCACTTTGCCACTTGTTTTCATTGCCAAGATAATTTGTGCATTTTCATACTCGCTCCACATAAACAGAAGAATTACAACAATTTTGCTGATATGACATTTAACTTTCAGTTAACAGCAAAGAGAAAAACAGAAAGAGGTGTGATAAAACAATATAATTAGCACGTTTTAAAAGCATCTCAAGGCAAGAACAGCCACAAACAAAAAGTGGTATGATTTGTCAGTTACATGGCTACTTTGACATTTTTTTTGGGACTCGTGATGCCTCCTCTAATGGGACAGTCTAAAGCACTGACTGCATCAGAGCTGCTGATTCTGAAGTCAGTCCTTCATGCTGCATTTCACTGCTGTGCGGGACAGGGGAGCGTTTACTTTCGACTCCGCTTCAAAGCCATGGATCTTACAAACGATAAACTATCTTCCATCCGAAAGTGTCTTTTGGTAACTTTACTGCTCGTTTGTTCATTTCAACTGTCCCGATCAAAGCGAATATTCAAATGTCCTTCAGGATGCACTTGTACGACAGATTCAATCATTTGCGTCGGTTCGTCTCTCATCCCACGGACTATACCGAGTGACATCAACTCCCTGTAAGTGTGATATTGTTATATGTTCGCCTAACAATTTATTTGCGAAAATGTTTATAATTTTATCAAACATAGTGGGATATAGCCTGTATTTGTGTTTCGAAACTGAACGTGCATCGTAGTGTTTGGTACAAAACAACAAATTAAAGAAGTGGCGTAAGCTATATTTATTAATTTATTATATTTATTTTTTAGGAGTATTGTCAATTGCAGTTTCCCAGAAATCAAGGAGGCTATGTTCTCGCTCATGCCCTCACTGCAGTTACTGTAAGTGACTGCTGCATCACTTTTTATAAATGTACCTGTTTATCTGCATTATAAAACACTAACACTTTGAATCCAAGGCATTCTTTTTTATGCTGGTCATATTTATGTTTTAGAATTTTCTGGCATATTCTGGCATCTTTTCTCTTCTTAGTCTCCTTAGTTCTAATTCATTTTCTGAAATCAAGGAGGATGCATTCTCAGGGCTTCCTCATCTTGAGTATTTGTAAGTACTTGGACAGCTTTTATTGATTTAAATAAATGATCAAAAATGTTCACTTCTTTACAGTACTGATATATTTGTTGGATGCCTGGACCACTTTATCAAAATCCCTATTGGTTTAATATTGGCTATTGGTTGAAGTACTTTTTATAGCTATTTTGTCTTATTTTATTTCTCCAACCAGATTTATTGAAGGTAACAAGATTGGAGAGATAAACAAATATGCCTTCAGAGGACTTCGGGATGTTACACATCTGTAAGTATATGGCATACAGCGAGCAAAAGCTAGGTTGTATTTATTTAGACAGATTTCTGGTAGGCATCATTTAATTTAGTAGGCTAAGTAATATATATTTTTGTTTCAGATGGTCAGTACATTATGTGATATATTGGTGTTGTCTTGAATTGTATTATAAGGTACACTGTAAAGTCCCTAAACATCCTGACTTGTATAAATAACCAAATGGAAATGTAATATATTGCCATATGTCAAGAGGGATATTGTCATGTTTGTTACCTCTAAGGCGATATATAATTTTCACATACATGCATTCTCTGGGTAGATGAAGATAAGTTTATAAGTTTATAACATATATGAAATCCCCACAATACATTTGTTTATATGTTAATAATATCTATGATTTTATATGGTATTATATGCAGCAAGCATATATGTCAACAATATATATTTTACTGATATGTGCAACTTCTAAAAAACAATCTGTATGTTTATGTTTTTTTTTAATAAAAATTTAAAAAATACATTTCTATATTTTATTATTTATTAGTATATTCACTTATATATTCACAACAGGTATTGACAGGTTTTTAGGATGGATATACATGACATATATGTCCAAATGTTCCCATTTCTAATAGGTTTCATGTTTTTACTTCACGTGACAATATATTTATCATATGGAAATCTAATATATGTATGTACATTACATTTGTGTAAAGTCTTCTGTCCATTTGTATTAATTAATTTCCTCTCTGTTTTTACAGATCATTAGCGAACAACAATTTAAAAACACTACCCAGGGGTCTTTTTTCTGATCTACGCTCTTTGATTGAACTGTGAGTTTTTCAGTTCACTGTTTACAAATGTGCACATGCAATCAACATGCAGGACAACCACCTATGCTAAATAGCTGGGAAACAGTAATATTGCAGTCACATATGATTTTGTTTATTTGCAGAGTTTTTAGAGTGTTTTGATCATGTCATGTCTAATAAACAGAGATCTGCGTGGGAACATGTTCCATTGCGACTGTGAGACCATGTGGCTGATGCTGTGGTTGAAACGATCCAATGCCACGATCTCTAATGCTTACTGTGCCAGTCCATCTGGCATGAAGGGCGTCCTATTAAAGGATGTCCCAGAAAAACACAGCAAGTGTGTCTCCACAGGTAACTAAATTTCTGTTGCTTAGATATGTCAGATTTTATGTTGAATTTTTGCATTGATTGTCTTGATAAATGCAGTGAAAAGGTGTGACGAAAAAATATATGATTTGTTTACACTTGTTTAGTGACAATGAATTAATGTGCTTCCATATGTCTGGTTCTTTTTCCCTTCAGATTTTGTTCAGTACCAAATAGTGAATACTCAATCAATGTCAGCAGACATCTTCTCTCACAAAGATGATATATATGTTGCTATGTCAGTTCCAAATTCAGACAGCTGCATAATCATGGAATGGGATCACATTGAGACTAAATTCAGGCCTTTTGATAACATCACAGGTTTGACTCCATAATCATTTGTCATATGTCATAAAAATGAAAGAGTATAGATGATGATTTCATTTTTTAAATATATTATATTTCAGGTCGGTCTGTTGTTGGATGCCGGTCTGTTCTGATCAACGAGCAGGCATTTGTCATTGTCTCCCAACTCTTCGATGGCTCCCTCGTCTACAAATATGACCAAGCACAGAATAAGTTCACCAAATTTCAGGCAGTTGAAATGCTTAATGTGTCCAAGCCGAATGACATTGAAGTCTTCCAGATCGGAGATGACTGGTTCTTCCTAATTGTGGACAGTTCCAAAGCTGGAATGACAACTCTGTTTAAGTGGAATGAAACTGGTTTCTACCCATACCAGTTCCTTCATGAATGGTTTCGTGACACCGATGCAGAGTTTTTTTATTTAGATGGCAAATCTGTCCTCATACTCGTGAGCCGTTCCCAGGTTCCTGTTATCTACCAATGGAACAAGAGCACCCAGAAGTTTGTTCTCCATGATGAGATAGCAAATATGGACGACATTGTCAGCGTGAAGGCCTTTAGGATTAATGATGTTCCCTACCTTGCGCTCGCCTGCTACATCGGTGACTCAAAAGTCATGAAGTGGACGGGCAAACACTTTGAAGAAGTACAGGGCTTGCCTTCACGTGGCGCCACAGTATTACAGCCCATCAAGTTCAAAGACCTGCACTATTTGATTCTGAGCAGTGATTATTCTTTCTCCCAGATCTTTAGGTGGGATGAGGAAAACCAGAAATTTATCAAGTTCAGGGATGTGTATGTTCAGTGGCCACGCTCATTCACAGCACTGTCCACAGACCAGCGTGATTTTGTGCTGGCCACCAGCTTCAAAGGCAAAACCAAGGTTTTTGAACATATTTCAGTGGATTATAGCAAATGAGGCATATGCTGTTATTCGTTGCATCTGGGCAATTGCTAAAATAAAACTCTATTCTTCAATATATGTATGCAAGTAACCATAATATTTATGAATGTAATGTTTCGTCAACAAAAAGGCCAAAACCCAGTGCACATGCCTGTCTTCTGTCTTGCAAAAGCTATTTATGCAACATTTTCTATAAAGGTTTAAATAAATAATGCTCTGCTGCTTAATTTATTCAGACCTTGAAAATACCTGACTGTTTGATTATATCAGGGCCCTTTTAAATCATTTCTTTGTGATATATCAGGTTCACCAAAGGTGCTCCGGCTTCAATCCAAAAGACTGTGGACTTGTCAGCTTCAAGCTAATTTATCCTAATGAGCTGGTTTGACTATATGCAAGCATGTTTTTGGTGCTGAGTAGTGATATTGTTCAGTAGAGACCCTCAGTGTTATTGCCTTTGATGAATGAAAGCTTTAGAAATTGCGTTTTTTTATTATTCATGATTTTTTTTTTTAACAGAGGATGATCCTTTATTACTGTAGCTGGCCGAGGATTGTACTGGATGTACATTTGAAAATATATTATTGATAATAAATAAAACAGCATCTTCTATTCATTCATGTTTGTTTTTATTTACACACACACACATACACACACACACACACACACACACACACACACACATATATATATATATATGTATACATAGTTTCTAACAAGGAAGCCAGCTGGACTAATGGTTTAGCAGCCAGTTTAGCATTTTCTTCAGTGCATTACTGTTCCACATACTGTCAACATAAACACACACCATAATAAGAAAGAAGCACGTTAAAACTTACATTTCATGACACTCCTTGACAGTGAGAAACTGCTTATGTTCACAAAGATCACTTTACCAGCCAGTCAGCAACATCATTCTTTGTGACAGAGCACTTAGGTTTGATAAATAAGACCAGAGGAATAAGCACGTCACAAATGTAGCCATTTAAAGTAAGCACAGAAATTATGTATTTAGAGGCCTGTCTGTATGATTTTTTTTCTGCTGTGCATTATGTTCATGTTCTATTATTTACATTATGTGCGTATATGCTGTGTTATGTGAAATTATGGTGGACGTTTAAAATAACCTTGTATATTTTCAAACTAATTGAGACCATGTTTAATTTAATGCTGCTTAATTTATTCAGACCTTGAAAATACCTGACTGTTTGATTATATCAGGGCCCTTTTAAATCATTTCTTTGTGATATATCAGGTTCACCAAAGGTGCTCCGGCTTCAATCCAAAAGACTGTGGACTTGTCAGCTTCAAGCTAATTTATCCTAATGAGCTGGTTTGACTATATGCAAGCATGTTTTTGGTGCTGAGTAGTGATATTGTTCAGTAGAGACCCTCAGTGTTATTGCCTTTGATGAATGAAAGCTTTAGAAATTGCGTTTTTTTATTATTCATGATTTTTTTTTTTAACAGAGGATGATCCTTTATTACTGTAGCTGGCCGAGGATTGTACTGGATGTACATTTGAAAATATATTATTGATAATAAATAAAACAGCATCTTCTATTCATTCATGTTTGTTTTTATTTACACACACACACATACACACACACACACACACACACACACACACACATATATATATATATATGTATATATAGTTTCTAACAAGGAAGCCAGCTGGACTAATGGTTTAGCAGCCAGTTTAGCATTTTCTTCAGTGCATTACTGTTCCACATACTGTCAACATAAACACAGGACATAATAAGAAAGAAGCACGTTAAAACTTACATTTCATGACACTCCTTGACAGTGAGAAACTGCTTATGTTCACAAAGATCACTTTACCAGCCAGTCAGCAACATCATTCTTTGTGACAGAGCACTTAGGTTTGATAAATAAGACCAGAGGAATAAGCACGTCACAAATGTAGCCATTTAAAGTAAGCACAGAAATTATGTATTTAGAGGCCTGTCTGTATGATTTTTTTTCTGCTGTGCATTATGTTCATGTTCTATTATTTACATTATGTGCGTATATGCTGTGTTATGTGAAATTATGGTGGACGTTTAAAATAACCTTGTATATTTTCAAACTAATTGAGACCATGTTTAATTTAATTTTTTTTAATAGCAATATAAATTAGTTAATCGCACTTTAGTACAATAGAATACATTATATCTTATACACTGTGTAATTATAATCGAGTACAACAATAACATGTGAAATGTGTGATGTTTGAAATTCGTTGTAAGTTTGGGGGTGCGTTCAACAGCAATGTAAGAAGACTATTGCAGCAAAAATTCATTTGCAACAACAATTTATAGTTTTATTCGAGACCACAGGTTTATTATAATCGTATAACTTAACGTAAGAAGCTTCATTAAACATCTGTTATTATTCTTTGGCTTTTGTAGCACTGTCACTTCGCGTCCCTGTTTAAAAGCGACACGCTGCGGTTGGCCATCATCCCAGCCGGAAATGATGTACGACGTGATGTTGATGAAACCTGAAACGTGTAATCGTGTCATCCTCGTCGCAATACATGCTTACGACGTGACCGTTTTTGTAATTTACAGCTTTTTTTAGAAGAATATTCTCGGACCGAAAATGAATCCTTCCAGAAGAAGCGAAAGTGATTGGCAGGGTCTGGTGAATGAGGTAGGAAACGCAGACATGTTGATGCCTCGCGCTCATCTGCACTCTATGAATCATACTATCAGCACTGCACTATAGAGGATGCTCAAATTAACCATTTAATGTGGTTTTCAATGAATTTACCCAAATGACGTGTGTAAAATTTAAGGGCATGGTTTTCTAAATACGATCAGATTATTTTGCTGATTTACAGAGACGTGAAATCCTCTTACTGTAACCGTGTTGTGTTGTAATTTTCTCGAGACCGCTTGTTCTTATCGAATAGTATAGGTGACATGCATGTTATTACATCTTTAAATGCCTTGCATCATAATAAATAAAATGCAGAAGGTCTGACACGACATGATCAGTTGAGGGATTAACGTAAATCTTCATCCTTTTACGTCAAGATCCATGAACGGCGCTGAACTCAGATTGGACCTGGAATTGAAATCATTTTTAAAATAATGATTTTAAAATACAGTGGTGGATACAGGAATAATAAAGAAATATAAATAGTCGTCTGTATGTTTTCATTTAGGGAACTTTTAAACCCATAACAACTCAATAACAGGCTCCTATGGACTTTGAATGTGTTTACATAATCTTTTGAATAAATGCGCTTATATTGATCAAATTGTGAACTTTAATGTCCCTTCTCAAGTGCATTGACAAATTTAGAAATTTCAAAGGTTTGGTTGACCTTTTCAAAGGTTATATTAATTTAAAAGTAGGATTTAGTTCTTTACTTCCAACTTCCAAGGTGGCATGATGTCTTAATTCAGTAATAATAATATTAATAATAAGTACTGTAGTACTACTACAGTAGTACTACTACAGTAGTAGGGCTGAACGATTTTGGAAAATAATCTAATTGCGATTTTTTTTTACCAATATTGCGATTGCGATTTAATATGCAATTATTTTTTAAAGCTCTTTATGTTCTGTATTATTCAAAAAAGACAAGCTATAAATCATTGTATAGTATGACCAACACGCTATTAGATAGATTAAACATAGCTAAATGTTCTTTTCTGTAGGCCAGGCCTATATGTTACGATGAAATTAGGTGATGCATAAATTGATATGAATGACATTTTTATTGAACAACTACAATCACAGTATATTGACTGATTTGTTGAACTTCCAACCTTGTAAGCATGTAATAATTATGACAACATAAAGCACTGACAAATAAGCCTGGTGTAAACATTGATATGAAAGTCAGTAACAAATCACACAAACTAAAGTAGATTGCAGAAATCTAAAAACAAATCTGTTGCTTAACCTCTACTTTAGGTAATTCAAAGTCACTGTAATAAACATACAGTATGTAAACGTGGACTGCACTAAACACTGTCTGTTAACTTTAGACCATGTGGTTGTCAAACTTTTTTGGTCGCGCCCCCCTTTAAACCTATAAAAAAAATCTGAACATTAAGAAAAATTAATGCTTTTTTAATTTAAAAAACCTACAGGGAAAAAAACACCTGCATCACTTGAAACATTGAAAAATAGCATAGCTATTAATAATAACTGTTATTATTACTTTCTCTCGCCTTACTTTGATGTCATACACCGATCGATCTTCAAGTAGAACAAACCTCTTTACTCTCGCGTGTCACGTGACCGTGTAATTGCAGCCTCTGCGATTGAAAAATCGCGTTTTTTCATATCGCGATATTATCGCAAATGCAATTAATCATTCAGCCCTAATAAGTAGGCCTAATACATAATCTAACTTCAGCAAAGGCTAAAGCCACTAAAATCAAGATGTAGAATTAATGTAAATTGAAATCATATTTCTTATTTTTGGCCTTCAACTAATGTTTTATTAACTTACAGAACACACAGTTCCTAGAACATCTGGAATAACCAAAATTAATAAAGATGAGTGAATAAATTAAAGGAGTAAATTATGGGTAATTATTGTATTCTATTGACATTTCTGGTTTCTATGAAAAGTTCTCAAATGCAGAAACTTCTAAGCATTTTAGCAAAAGTGCCAATAGAAATATTTTCACTTACATGGGAAAAATGTAAATATTATCTTGGAAGAGACTTTGGTAACACTTTATTTTAAGGTGTCCTTGTTACACATATTGCATGTGCTTACTATTATAATAACAATTAATTATGCATAATTACATGCAAGTAACCCTAAGCCAAACCCTATCCATATAGTAAGTACATGTAGTTAAATAATATTACTCAGTACTTAAATCAAATGTATAATTACACTGTAACCAGGACACCTTAAAGTAAAGTGTAACCAAGACTTATGAGTCGGAGGCCTTTGAGTAAAAAGGTTAGGTGATTTTGCTAAAAAAAACAATGCAAGAACCCACTTTGATCATTGCCTCTTCTGGCAGTGGTGACTAAATGCGTTGAATTGAAGCATTAACAACACTGTTGTTTTCTTTGTGTGCCTAGTTCCTGGTATGCAAGAGAAAGCTGGAGAGTAAGAAGGAGGCACTGCTGATCTTATCAAAAGAACTGGACACCTGCCAGCAGGAAAGGGATCAGTTTAAACTGATGGCAAACCAGCTCCGTGAACGCCACCAAGGGCTCAAGAAAAAGTACAGAGAGCTTATAGTATGTATTTATATTCTAAATGAATTAAACACTCATGTAGAAGTATGAGGTATTGTTATTATAATGACGTATATTTAAAAGATTTTTTTTTCATTAATAGGATGGCGACCCTTCTCTGCCTCCTGAAAAAAGAAACCAAGTATGTCTGTGCTTAACACCTATTTAAATATGCTTAACTATACTCTGTTATATACTGTATGTATAAAACTACAGATCTGAAATCTAAATGTGTAGTTTGTGAAATGGTCAACCCAGTACTCCTGATTATCATTTGGTGTTATTCATTGTTTTTAACTTGCCACAGGTCAATCTGGCCCAGTTACTGAGAGACTCACGAGAACAGAACAAACAGCTGAGCGAGGAGATGAAAGAACTGAAGCAACGTTTAGCGGAGGTGCAGGGCGATAACAAGGTATGGGTTCCACTCTGCACAGAGGTGATTACTTTGCATGACTCAGTCCCATGCAGATGTTTGCAAGGTCAAATATGTAATCAAACACATTGATCACAGTTCATATATTGTGGTATATCTGCATTCTTTCCATCCCACAGCTGCTGAGGATGACCATCGCAAAGCAGCGTCTAGGGGACGAAGAGGTGGGGACTCGTCACTTTCCAGCCCATGAGAGAGAAGATCTTGTTCAGCAGTTAGAAAGAGCTCGAGAGCAGGTGCATTGCTCTTGGCGTTCCACACATTTTAGTTCTCAAGAATATCACTGTGTGTCATGTCTCACAGTTTTTGTAGACACTGGTGTCATAGAAAAACAAAACACTGATACAATAGTTGAGTAAAAAAGCAATATCTGTCCTGTGTCATAACCCTATGGTGTTGCAGAATGAAGCACTGGAGCAAAGCTTAAAGGCTGCCACGGATGAATTACAGGACGTGAGAGCAGAGCGTAATGTCTATCAGGAGAAAGCTCACAGACTAAACCTGGAAATTAACCACATCTTGGGAAGCCACGAGAATCGCATTCTGGATATTGATGCTCTGTGTATGGAGAACAGGTCAGTGTTGCCATGTTCAGGATCTACACACCTACACATTTAGCATCTACTGCTGCGGTAGCAGGAGGTAAACACACACACACACACGTTTGTTTTTGTGAATTGTAGGGACTTTCCATAGACGTCTATTAATTTTTTACTGACCAAACAATATTTTCTATCCCCTAACCCTAAACCTACCCCTTACAGAAAATCTGTTTGCATTGTTACACTTTCAGATAAACATCATTTACTATTTGTAATAATTTTTTCCCCTCGTGGGGACCACAATGTAAAAAATGTCAGGTTTTACTGTCCTTGTGGGCACACAATGTAGCATAAACAAGTACACACACACACACACTAATTAACATATATGCAGAGATTTATTATTTTAGTACACATAAATCACATTCTGATTCCAAAATAACTGCTATTTTACACTGAACAAAATTATAAACGCAACACTTGTTTTTGCCCCCATTTTCAACTCAACTCAAAGATCTAAGACTTTTTCTATTTACACAAAAGGCCTATGAAGGAGATGTGTTGCACTGCGTGAGGCAAATGGTGGTCACACCAGATACTGACTGGGTTTCGGACCCCCCCGGACCCCCCAATACAGTAAAACTGCACATTTTAGAGTGGCCTTTTATTGTGGCCAGCCTAAGGCACACCTGTGCAATAATCATGCTGTCTAATCAGCATCTTGATATGCCACACCTGTGAGGTGGATGGATTATCTCGGCAAAGGAGAAGTGCTCACTAACACAGATTTAGACAGATTTGTAAACAATATTTGAGAGAAATAGGCCTTTTGTGTACATAGAAAAAGTCTTAGATCTTTGAGTTCAGCTAATGAAAAATGGGGGCAAAAACAAAAGTGTTGCGTTTATAATTTTGTTCAGTGTAGTATTATTGATATATAGTACTATTATAGTTTTGTTAATATTTTGATATTCTGGTTTGATTTAAAATGTAAAGCATTTTTATTTATTTTTTAAAATATTGTCTATATAGTTTTTATTATTTTGGTTTTAGTTATTATTTTAGTACTTAATGTTAAAATAAAATAAAATGATAAATGATGCATTGGCAACTAGCTGACATCAAATAACTTTAGAATATCCATTTATATTATTTCAGTTGGTTTTCCGCACAGGCAGTATATTTTCAATGTAACAATAGGAAGAAAACCCCAGTAACATGACTTAAGAATGCCATTTTGATTATTTACATGGTTAAAGGATATTTATATAAGAAAGCAAATGTGACTAGGACATGATCAGGTTTGTGGTGAGACTGACCTCTGCTGGTCTGGTGGGGACATTACAGGCATTGATATGGCCGTTTTAACATGTCCAGTTGGTTTTGTTGGTGCCTAAATATTATCAACAGTGCTATTTAGCTAGTCATTTTGTGGGTTATCTGTATATCATATTAAAGTCTTCAAAAGATATATATTTTTTAAGATATCTGCATGAGCGGCTGATGCAGCTTCAGGAGGAGGTCACCCTCCTCAAATCAAACGTCATGAAGTACAAGGTATTTATTACACATACAACCAAATTTATATGTACACAAAATATTTATTCACTTTAGTTATGTATAAGTTCATTGTTGGGCATATGCCAATGTGTTTTATTTCAGAGTGCTTTGGAAAGCAAGAAGAACTGTAAAGTCTATGGCAAGTCCAACAGCAGTGCTCTGACAGGAGTCCTCTCTGCTAAACAAGGTACCACACAAGACTTCTACAGAATCCAGACAGTAACAATTCCGTGCTTTACCAGTTTTCTTCTTTAATTAATATACAATTCTTTGAAAGAAAAATCCTCAGAAGCTAAGTTACAGCTAATATATTTCCAGTACAAGAGCTGCTGCTGTCAGAGGAGAATGGCTGCAGTCTCCCGGTCACTTCGCAGTCCATCAGTGACCTGAAGTCCCTGGCCACTGCTCTGCTGGAGACCATTCATGAGAAGAACATGGTCATTCAGCATCAACGGCAAACCAACAAGTATGTTACATCGTGACAACTGTCATCTCATTTTCTGTGCTGGAAAGCACCTAAGATACAGTGTTACTTTCGAATGGTTTATTTATATGCTATTATAGTTTTCATTAACCTCTTAACTGTCACGTGTCCCCCCCAGTGGGACGCCTAAGTTTACTTCACTATAATGCAAATAAATCCTAATCTAATCATGACAAACTATATATCATTGGAAAGGTCTAAGACTCTTAAATAGATATTTTACCACTGTTTTACACGTTACAAATTATGTAGGAAAAGTAATAGATTATTTTATGACTAGAGGGGACCTCAAAAATCTACATAATAACAGGAGTTCTGACCTTTGTCACAAAAAGTCTTTCTTTGTTGTTATATATCAATTGAAAGCTTAAAATCTCAAAATTCATCCTTTGAGAACCATTTTAAAATCAGACATTGCATTACCGTGGAAATGGTACATCAAAGTCATATTACAAATGTTTTCATTCATGAATTATAAAAATTTGGATAGTGCACTTTCACGTCTTTGTTCAAAAATGGGAGTGACAGTTAAAGGGTTAATATTTTAAATCTTCAGTTTTCATTTTTAAATTTTGTTGTAAAATGTGCATTTTATTTTTATCAGTGTATTTTTTTTATATGTTACTATTTTTATTTTTATCAATGTATTTTTTAAATGTCACTATTTAGGTTTAATATATTTGTATTATTTCAGTTTTAGTTCTTATTTATTTCTAGCTTGTAATTTTAGTGCTTCAGCTTAATTTAATTACCGAGGCAAAATTTAACATTCTTTAGTTTTTTAATATTATTTTTTGTATTTTATTTTATTATGGCTTTATTTAAATTAACAACAGTTGTTTTAATGGTTTTTGTTAATTATAATAATCCTGCCAAGATGCAAGTTAATGATGCCATAGCATTCTTATTTTTACAGAATTATGGAAGAATATTCTGGACAATTTTCAAAAGGAATTGCGATTCCATTTGAGTTTTGGCAGGTTACATGCGTGGTGCAGAGAGAGTGAAAAAGCAGACAAGCATCGTGACAACTGTCATCTCATTTTCTGTGCTGGAAAGCACCTAAGATACAGTGTTACTTTCGAATGGTTTATTTATATGCTATTATAGTTTTCATTAACCTCTTAACTGTCACGTGTCCCCCCCAGTGGGACGCCTAAGTTTACTTCACTATAATGCAAATAAATCCTAATCTAATCATGACAAACTATATATCATTGGAAAGGTCTAAGACTCTTAAATAGATATTTTACCACTGTTTTACACGTTACAAATTATGTAGGAAAAGTAATAGATTATTTTATGACTAGAGGGGACCTCAAAAATCTACATAATAACAGGAGTTCTGACCTTTGTCACAAAAAGTCTTTCTTTGTTGTTATATATCAATTGAAAGCTTAAAATCTCAAAATTCATCCTTTGAGAACCATTTTAAAATCAGACATTGCATTACCGTGGAAATGGTACATCAAAGTCATATTACAAATGTTTTCATTCATGAATTATAAAAATTTGGATAGTGCACTTTCACGTCTTTGTTCAAAAATGGGAGTGACAGTTAAAGGGTTAATATTTTAAATCTTCAGTTTTCATTTTTAAATTTTGTTGTAAAATGTGCATTTTATTTTTATCAGTGTATTTTTTTTATATGTTACTATTTTTATTTTTATCAATGTATTTTTTAAATGTCACTATTTAGGTTTAATATATTTGTATTATTTCAGTTTTAGTTCTTATTTATTTCTAGCTTGTAATTTTAGTGCTTCAGCTTAATTTAATTACCGAGGCAAAATTTAACATTCTTTAGTTTTTTAATATTATTTTTTGTATTTTATTTTATTATGGCTTTATTTAAATTAACAACAGTTGTTTTAATGGTTTTTGTTAATTATAATAATCCTGCCAAGATGCAAGTTAATGATGCCATAGCATTCTTATTTTTACAGAATTATGGAAGAATATTCTGGACAATTTTCAAAAGGAATTGCGATTCCATTTGAGTTTTGGCAGGTTACATGCGTGGTGCAGAGAGAGTGAAAAAGCAGACAAGGTAATTAATATTGCTATTTAAATATGACAGGCTCATAACTCGTCAGATATGGGAAATACAGTTGCAAATGGACTTCTTTTTCATTTCAAATTTGGCAGCCACTGTGCGTTCACGAAAGCGAAAATGCAAACGGTAATGCAAGATTTGCAATTGCGTTTGGATTATGTCACAATTAATGCGTCCAGATATGGAAAACGCAATTAAAAATACAATTTGCAATTCCTTTTGAAAATTGTCCAGAATATCCTTCCATACTGAATAGTGTTAAAAAGTGAAATGTAGCTGTTGGTTTGCATATATTTAAACAGGATCCTGGGTAACCGGGTTGCAGAACTTGAAAGAAAGTTGAAAACATTAGAGGTGTCTGGGTTGTGGAGTCTGCCAGGTAAACATCATATTCTATGCAGTTGCTTTTTTTTTTCTTAATTTTGATTATTTGATTGTAGTTTGGTGTTTTAATGTTTGCTCTAATACACTTTACATTTGTGTAATTGGTGTTTCTTTGTAACATAATATAGTTTGTCTTGCTTATTTCAATTTTTAAATGACTTTCAATTGCTCTCCCATTTCTGCTTTTCACTCTTTCTTCTCACCCTCTCTGGAGGCATCACCTACAATGTGTCTCTCGGACTAGGGAGTATGTTTTTTTAAATTTTTTTATTCAATATAGTTTTTTGCCTTTTATATGTTTCTGCACTTTTTTCAAACCAATTCTACCTCTGTTACCCTTGTTGTTAACTTGACAAGATAACTTCCATTTGTTGTTATAGTTGTGTATATATTGACTTGAACTTTTTTACAGGAAGGAAAGCCGTTATTGTCCTGAGTGACTCTCAGCATGTCCAGCCCACCACAGAACAGTCAGTCCATCTGACACCAGAGTCAATGGGTGAGTTACTACCTAGTGAACACTAATTGACACTTTACATCTATACAGTACACTTTTAAGTCTCATGACCTCTTTAAACATTACAGGCACAAATCCAAATGCTTTTTTTAAAAATTATTAGTTATTATTAATTTTGTAATAATCATAGACCTAACCCTAAGTTTGCATATGGAAAATACTTTGATGCGTAAATTCAAGACAAGAGAAGCTTACACACATAATCATAAAAATGTCCTTACAAAATTCTTACATTCAGAGGCCAAAAAGTGAAAGAAAAGTGCCACATTGTTAAAAGTTTTTAAATGTCACCACATAAATTCATGTTTATATTTTTTCTCCGAATTAGTAGAATCGGTATTATGAAAATTTGATTTGCATACAGCTACACACAACTTTGCCTGTCGAATATTAAAAATCAAATGAACAGGCATGTCCATGTCCTTCATGCGAGTCAACGGTTCCTGTTAAGCTCCACACAGGATCTCATCCTGGCACTTCCCCTAATTGCAGATTCAATTATTAGATCTAATATTAACATTCTTCTACATTTTTTTTACATTTGCCATGTTTATACTGTCAGACTAACACCTTCTACCTCAAAAGTTCACATTTAATTCATTGCTACTTGTTGTTTCTTTGTAATCGTTTGTGATATTTACTAGCAATTTCTGATGGAAAATTGTTTCTACACCAATGTTTTTTTTAGTGTATATACCCGAAAACATTCATCTGTGTGCTGCTAACATTCATAGACATCCAAAGCTACTACTGCATAGTGCATACCAATAACATTCGGAGGAATATCAAATACATAACTCAAAATTGTTGTCGTTATATATCTACATTTCAGAAAATTGCAGAATCACAAAAAAAAAAAAAATCAACATTTTCAAATGCATACTTTGGGAACATGATCTAAAAATGGAAAACCTCATAGGAGTAAAACCGCTCATATTATATTTTGATTAAAGGGGTCCTATTATGCTCTTTTACAAAGTCTTGATTTTGTTTTGGGGGTGTACTAGAACATGCTCTCATGCTTGGTGGTTCGAAAAACGGCTTTCAGTTCCGGCTTTGATGAAGGTGATTGGTTAGCTGTCCCAATGCGTTGTGATTGGCCAACAGCTTAGACGGTGTTTCAGTACTGCCACGCCCCTTGCTCCGTCTTTCAACAAAAGCTTTTTGGCGAATCCGGCAGGCACTGTACTCCCTCCTGTTGTGGAAGCTGTCCTCAGTAAAATGCGCAGCACACAATAGCAAATTGGGGTTATAATGCTCAGG